CTAACATATACCAGAAGAAATTCCTCTTTCTCTGGTGATACACAATTTGTTGTTGTTGTTGTTGCACAGTGTACTGTGCAAGTGGGATTGTTCATTTGTTTAGTTAAAAAAAAACAAAAACAAAAACAAAAACAAACCACAAACTAGGCAAACTATAGGTTATTTAAGAAAGAAACATTCCATAAGGGTTTTTTTCTGGGAGGAAATTTATTATTCTTTTCTATGCAATATCTATGACAGTGTAAAATCAAGTAGGAACCTTTCAAGTAGTAGTCTTTAGTGTTTTGTCTTAAACTGTATTTATGTAACAAGTTCATCACACATAGAGTTTATTATGTATTTTCACCTGATTTTTCACTGTTCAGTTCTGATCATATAAGCTAAGCCTGATGGCATCCTTAACTGAGCATTGATATTTGTCTCTTTCATTCCTGGGTCTACAATTTGAGTTCTTAAGTTTTAAATAATTTAAAATAGACCAAATAAAAGAGTTAAAATAGTAAGGACATGATAGAATTTAATGCAGAAACATGGAGGAAAAACAATGTTCTCCTTATAGTCTGTGCAGCTTAGCAGAATATGAAATGCAAACATAACATAAAAAAAATACAAGTTAAATGACTTGACGCTTGCAAGCCATGTTTATTATCTAGTTCTAAACCAGAATATTTCTCATTTATTCCTACTTTAGGATGACTAGAGGAAGTCATTTTAAAAGGGAAAAACTTATTTATTATCATTTATTTATTCTTTATTTATTATCACTTGAAAAAATGGACACCAGATCATTAGGACATTTGCAGACATTTTTCACAGAAAAATACAGATTTCAAACTTTCCCTTTTAATGTTTGTCTATGGGAAGTAAGTATCTATATCTATCTATCTATAAGTGCAGTAAGACCTTTGGTCAGTTTGGAAGTAAGCATAGTGTATAGCAGAATATTTTAGCCTGTACATAACAGTGCACGCACTGAGATGTGCTTACACATTAAAATCAAGGCTATATGGATATAATCTTTAAGTAATTTTCAGGGTCCAGTTAACAGTCATGGCCTATGGCAAACTTTCCATGTTCTTAGCAACAAAGAACTTCAGACCAATGCACAGTTTTATTGCTTAAATTGAGAATGCTTACCTAATCATTCATCAAAAAGAAAGCTTTGCTTACATAGGAATATTATAAGCATAATTTAAAGGATTTTAAAGGAGTACATCTTTATTATTAGTTGCTTATGTTTTTGTCTGATATTCTTCCTTTTCCATACAGTTTGTATAAAAGTGACCTAAAAGTTGACTGAAGCTGCTAGCTGGTAATACAGGAAGAGACATTAAATACATCACAGTTAAACAGTATATATGTTGCTGATTCTAATTTTTTCAAAAAGGAGACTTGTTGGATTCTGCAAAATTTCAAAGGTTAACAAACAGTGGTTGGACTTGTTGGTTCAAAAGTGGTTCTGATTTTCTGTATACAAAGTTCCAACCCACACTGACCAGTTCACTGAAGTTACATCCTAGAAATCATAGAATCGTCTAGGTTGGAAAAGACCTTTAAGATCATCGAGTCCAACTGTTAACCTAACACTGCCATCCCACCACTAAACCATGTCCCTAAGCACCTCATCTATCCTTCTTTTAAATACCTTCAGGGATGGGGACTCAACCACTTCCCTGGGCAGCCCATTCCAGTGCCTGACAACCCTTTCTGTGAAGAAATTTTTTCCTAATGTCTAACCTAAACCTGCCCTAGTGCAACTTCAGACCATTCCCCCTCATCCTATCGTCCGTTACCAGGGAGAAGAGGCCGACCCCCACCTCGCTACAGCCTCCTTTCAGGTAGCTGTAGAGGGCAATAAGGTCTCCCCTCAGCCTCCTCTTCTCCAGACTAAACAATAAAATAAAGTTCTGTAAAAAAATACGTATTGTTTCAAAGCCATTAGATTCTACAACAAGGCAGGGAAGGTTCAGGGAAGATCTTTACAACATCTAGTCCATCCTCCTGTGAAAACTGGGATTAAATTCAGTTTTAGAACAGGTAGCTTGGGGCATTGTTTGGTCAAGTTTTAAGAATCTTCAGGGATGGAGATTTCATAATCCCTCTATGCAAACTGTTCCAATTTCCATATGTCCAATTAGAATTTCTCATGTAGCAACTTACAACCAGTTGCCTCTCTTTCTTTCACTGCATCTCACAGAAAGGTTTGACTCAGTCTTCTCTGTAACCTTTTAGTAGTGGAAGATTACTATAAGATCACTTCCTCGCTGCCTTATCTTCAGGTTGAACAGTCTGAGTTCCTTCAGGCCCTCCTCAGATATCAGGTGTTGGGGCTCCCTGATTATATTAGTGGCTGGACTCTTTTCAGTTTGTTGACATTTCTTTTGTCAGAAAAGAGGAAAAACTGTATGTAGTATCCCAGGTGTAGACTCACCAATGCCAAGCAGAGTGGAATAACCATATCCTTCAGTCTGCTAGCCACGCACATGCTAATGCATTCCAGTAGGCATTATTGCTGCAAGGATGCACTGGTGACTTGTGTTCAGCTTGCTGCCTACCAGAATCCCCAAGTCCTTTTTTGCAAAGCAGCTATGCAGTCAGTCAGCTCCCAGCCTATAGTGATCCATGCGTTTTCTTGTCATTCATGTTCTATCATAATCCTGTGTGTTTGTTGCATTTTCCTTGAACTTCAGAAGGTTCCTGATGACCTATTCCTCATTTGCTGAGGTTTCTTTAGATAATCTGGATATACTGGGGGAAAAAAAAATCTGCACGGGTTTAGCCTACCTTATTTATGAGAAATATACAAGAGCAATTTCTTAAAGCATCTGGGATAATGGAAGACAGCTGAAAAAGATGGTTGAACTGATGTTGGAAAATAGTCTTAGTAGATGGATCAAGGAAGCTGTTTGGTAAGATGTCCCTTTCGAATAATTTTAGCGTTTTGAAAGGGGATTGTGTGTACTGTGAATTGTAAAGAACACTAGTTAGGAGGGTAACTGAAATGAGTAGAATGGAGTGAAATGAGTAGAAGGGGCTGAGGTGTTACCAGAAGTGAAGAAGACGCTAGACTTTTAGGGGTTACGAGTGAATAGCACTTAAACCAGAGTGACAGAGCAGATGGTTATCACATGCTGTGGTTCCTAAAACGGCAGTGGGATGAGAAGATGAGGGTGGATAGTCATTGGAGCTGGAGTTCTTTAAGTGATACAGCAAGATCCAGTAGGGGTTGAATTGATCCTTTGATCACAAAGTGGAGGAGGTAAGTTATGGGGATGGTACTGGATAACACTTTCCAACCATGCTTCCTGTGCCTTGGTGCTTACTACAGAAAAGACAGAAGTGTGAGTGAGATGGCTTTGGCACACTGCCTTTGTATACCCCTGTATACTGGCTTGTCAGGTCAATGTGGGTTGATGCAATGAACCCCATAGCTGTTTGCCCAGAGGAGGTGGCCTTACTTTACCTTCAGCCATATTTTGCTTGCTAATGAGGAAGGAGGAGTTTAAAGAAACCAAGAGGAGCTATTGTATGCCCTACCCATGTAGTCAGTCTTAGTTAACTGGAAACTACTGTTGTAAAGCATACATTAAGAACAAAATCATATTTCCTGTTAGCTTTGCATATTTTCCTTACAGATGTGACCAATTATAGGTCTAGGAAACAGTAGGAATGCCACAAATAATGTTTTATACTGGGTTTTAAAACTTTTGGTGCGTTCTGTTTCAGCAAATAGTTATTGGTTTGGAGGATTTTTTTTTTTAGTATTATTCACATCATTAGCAACCATTCCTGTATAGGATCCTATATGGCATCTTTTATTGAAAGCCAACTAGTGTTATAGCAGGTTTTCCTCTTATAAACAAGGATCCAAAGTACCTTCTGTACTTTCTCCAGAGACTGTTGACCCTTGCTTGTCTGTTATGCAAAGACTCTGGTTTAGAAAGTGAAATATGTTGCATGCTACCTGAAATATACCATTTCTCCTAAATCACTTTAGGATTTTTATGTGGACAAAAGGAACAAAAAATCAGTTGCCCCACAATTTTGCATTACTGAGGCCTTATCTGTATTTTGCTCTTGCAATTTATTGCATTTATTTTCTTAGTCACAGAATTCCAGATACAAATAACATTTAAACCAAGCAATTTTAACAAATATTTTTTTCTCTATAATGCTTGAACAAGAAGAGTATAGATTTGTTGAAGTTGCTAGTATACATTAATCATCTTGCCAGAAAATTTGTTATGCAAGTAGCACAATCCTGCACCTGTCAAAAGACTCTAGAAAATATATGCAGGCTTCTGTGATGTACTGTATGATAATTTATGTCTGAATGCTGAATATTTCTTTAATCTCATATAATGATTCTTCTCTGAACAATTCACTGCCTTTATTTAGCAAGTTTTATCATTCCCACCTTAATTTTCATCCATATCTTCTGTATGTAATCCTTAAATTTGTTAGTATTTCTAAAATTTTACTTTAAGCTGCAGCTACTGAAGTATTCATATAGCAATATTTTGTATCCACCCCACTGTTCTCTTCTAGATTTTAGTTAGTATGTTTATTTTCCCTGTTTCTCCATAAAACACCAAATAGTTTTACAATTCTTGTTTCTGATATTCTATTTTAAGGTCCAGTTGAATATTACGGTTATACCTAGCAATTTTTTTTTTTTAATTTATACAATGAAATGTTAAATCTTTGGAGCTTTCTAAATACCTGAAAGCTGTTAAACACTTCTCTGTCACTAAATACAAATGTTACTGTTTGTGAGAAATAGTCCAATGTAACTTTTTTTGAGATAAAATTTTGTGCTATTAATGTAAAGCATCCTGAAAGGACTTGTAGCATATTAATAGCATATTAATAGAGCATTCTGAAGAAGCGTTTTTGTTATTTCTTGTTTACTGCTGTTACATTGCAACTTTGCTATCCTTAGTAAGAATAAAAATAGGAAATGCTCCATTATACTAAAATCTTTTTGTGTTTATTCCTAGAAAGTTTTTTTGTGAAGAAATGGCCTCCAGCACTGGAAATGAAAAGAGCGTGAATCCTGTGCTCAGAATAAGTCAACTTGATGCTCTTGAACTAAACAAAGCCCTGGAACAACTAGTGTGGTCCCAGTTCACCAACTGTTTTCATGGATTTAAACCAGGGGTGTTGTCTCATTTTGAACCAGAAGTAAAAGCATTTTTATGGCTTATAATATGGAGATTCACTATCTATTCCAAGAATGCAACTGTGGGACAGGCTATTCTGAATATTCAATACAAGAATAACTTATCCCAGACAGAGAAATACCAACCTCTGAGCAAACACCAGAAGTTATGGTATCTTATTTTCACGGTTGGTGGAAGATGGTTGGAAGAAAGGTGTTATGATTTATTTAGCAATCATCAACTGCAATCTTTCTGCAAAATTAAGCATTGTATTAACTTTGCAGCTGGACTTACTAAACTTTGTGGACTTCTAAATTTTCTGGTTTTTCTTCAGAAAGGAACATATGCAACACTTACAGAACGCATTCTAGGAATTAGGTCAGTTTTTTGCAATCCACAAAGTGTTCGTCAGGTAGGATTTGAATACATGAACAGGGAGCTTTTATGGCATGGCTTTGCTGAATTTCTGATCTATCTGCTACCACTTATTAATGTACAGAAACTAAAACTTAAGTTTTTTTCTTGGTGTTTGCCTATTGCAGGTCTTTCCAATAGTGAAAACACATTAGCAGCTCACTGCAAGGAATGTTCACTATGTGGGGAATGGCCTACCATGCCTCATACCATAGGCTGTTCGCATGTTTTTTGTTACTACTGTATTAAAAGTAACTATTTATTTGATATGTATTTTACATGTCCTAAATGTGGCTCAGAGGTACACAGTCTTCAGCCACTGAAATATAAAATTGAAATGACAGAATTGCATGCCTGATATGGGGTTGATTTGGTTTTATACTGTACATGAAATATTATGTTGCAGAGGTTAATGGAAAAATTCAGAAATTATTGTAAACAGACAGCTCAAAGGTTGTTTTGGAGGCTCTGCAGTTTGTTGTAACATATGTCTTTACTGGTCTTAGGTTTTTACTGAGTAACAGTGCCATCTTGCCTCTCTGAAGGAAGGAAGTGAAAGGAGTTCACCACCTCTTCTATTCTCTCATTCTAGTTTGGTACCCCTGTGTTGTCAAGTCATTCCTTCTTAGATCTAGAGTCTGTCAGCCTGCCACTTCCTCACTGCATGTCTCTCAAAGATGGAGAAGATGCCCAGTAAGCTTTTACCCATTTTGTGGATTTTCTCAAGCTTCTTGTAAAAGCTTCTGCAATTACTATTTACCTAGGAGATGGATTTAGTGAGAAAGTGATCCTTGTCATGCCTAAAGAATAATTTTAAATTTTAATATTTTAAATTTGAATTCCCAGTGTCATGTTCCACTGCAAAAAAGGAAAGGTGTAAGATAATTGTCATCTCAGAAGGTTGTTAATAGTTTTCATCATATTCAGCTGCCATAACAGGACATACTCTTTCTCTAACTCAGTTATCAATAGACGATAAGCTTTAAGTGATCCATCTGGTAGGCAGATAGATACTATGTAGTTAACAGGTGCCTAAAGAGAAATAACCACTTCCTGTGCAAATACACTGCACCTTCTAGATCTTCATGAGGTCACTGAACGCATTTTCTCACTCAATGTTAGTGATCTTCAGTGACCCATGTATGACCAGCTCCTAATTCTTCCCTATAAAGCTGAGGGGCACAGTCCATCATCCATTGGAATGCGGCAGCTGCCCAAGCTGCCTAAGTGCATTCCTCTGAGTCAGAGACACGGAGAAAACTGTTTACTCACAAGATGCTGTCTTTGGGACTTGCCACTCTTCTTTGGTGTAGTCAAGGTGGGTGCCAAACCTCACTAACAGCTCGCTACCACACAGAAAAAAGATCCAGCACAGCTATGTGGATGTAGACATATTAAAAAAATAGGTAACTCTTCCTGTTTTTTACTATTACTATTTGCTTTCTCTGTTGGCTTTGCAATGTTTTTGTTATTCCCTGTTTTAACACTTCATCCATTTATTCTCTGACCTGGTTTTAAAGATTTAATTTTTTCACAATTGCAGTCCCATTTTAACAGGAAGTTTTACCCAGAAGTGCCTCATTAACACAAAAATACATTGCATCCTTTTTTGGCACTTAAGTCAAATTCTCAAAAACTTACACAGTTGAATTGAGTAAATCACTTTATGGTGGTTGTGTTCTTGATTGGTTATCATCAATAGTCCCAAAAATAGTATGGTAACAACTGATCCAATATCTTTGATCTACTTTTATAAAATGGTTTATTACATTCTTCAATGTCTGATTAAAACAACCCACCAGCCTGTTTGTTTGAAGATCTTAGATTTTAGGTTTTGATCTTTAGAGTGACACACAACGCTTTCATCTGATGCAATTAAATATAGTTAGCAGGCTCATAAGTATCTGTGGGCAGCCCAAAACTTCATTAATTCTGCTACTGTTCTGTGAGTCAACAGAGACTTCAGAGCAACTGCTTCCAGATACTGTGCTGCAATATATTATTTGCCATCAAATGTGTATATCAGCAGCCTGCCAAATTTCTGTTACTCGCAGTTGCCATTTGAACCAGCAGGTACAAATCTGTCTTTATTAGAGGTATCAAAACTGGCGAGTCTGTTGGAGAATATCCTGGAGTCACTTGCTGGTCCTGAAGTGATTCTGTTTGAGTTGTCCCTGCACATCACTTAATAGCTCTTCCCAAAGAAATGTATTTGCAATCCTGACTTATAATCACAGCAGACTTTTGTTTCCTGTGGACTTTTCATTCCTTCTGAAGTCACAGTGCAGTGTTGTGTCAAAAGGCTGTGGATTTTCTAATGTGGACTCTGTTAGGTGTCATGTTCTTCTTACGTAGGTGTTAACTTCTTTCCTATTTAAAATGCTTCTTTTTCCTGAACATTTAAAGGATGTTATCTTCCTTTTTCATTCCACCACTCTCTGTCCTGCTGTTTGATTTACCTAAGCTGTATGAATTTTCTGAGGTTTGTTTTGTCTCTTGCAGCTTCATGCAGGTGAAATCCTAGGAAAATGTATATTCTGTTTTTCATCCCTGTTACAGTATCAACACAAAACCTGTTTCCAGATTTTTGTACCTCTATTGCTCAGCTACTTTCTGCTGGCTGTGCTATATTGCAGTTGGCTTCCCTGTTTTTCTTCTGGAGTTGAACTTTTGGTACTTTAACTTATGATGGCTTATTATACCAAAGCATTGGCCTACTGCTCTAGTACCTCAACATCAATGTGTTAGGTTTGTAGCCTGTAGCACTGACCAAGTTTGTAAAGTCTGTCTTATGGCATAAATAAGCAATTTGCATTACCCTAAGGTCCTAGATCATAAAGTGTGGCTTTAATTCTTTTGTTTTCTGTGCAAGTAAGCAGGTACCATGCATCTCACAGAAATAAGTAGTTAGAAAAGAGTGGTTCCTTTTGTCAGATACTGAATTTTTTACTTTTTTTTTGTAATCTACCATGTGGTCAAACCTTTGCTCAGTTGTCAAATCTAAGTCAAAACTCGGATTGATGAGACCAAGATTTCAACTTGTGTATTGAAAAACTACTTGCTACCAGGCTAGCTTTCTGGGACTCCAAAGTCAATACTCAGCAGCTTCCTTATGGCACTGTAAAATTAAAAATACACCTTTTTTATGTTGTAATTCTGTTTTGTTGTGGCTTGTGATATGTAAACTTCAGAAAAGTCTTACTTAAAGGTATTACAGAGAAAAATTAGATAATTTGTAGACTAATCAAAGGATAATTAATTTTACATACTAATTTCATTGATAATCTGTCCTCATAAGCATTACATTGTCAGGTTAAATCTCTGCTGTAACAAAGGACTAAGATACATCTGGTGGTGCTTCCTGCAGTAGAGGGAATAGAACTTGTTTTGGAATGTTCATCTCTTCAGTCATTTTCTTGAAACAAAAGGTTTTTAGTGTTCAGCTACCATGACCATGAGGATGTACTCCTGAGCAGTCATATGTGCAGCAGCAAAAAGAATAAATGCCTAGAATTTAAGAAAGATAAGGGACCAGAACTCTTACTCAGTCTTGGATGGGAGTTACAGCCCTGTATTAACTGTTTTATTTGTGCTCTCTTGTGTGTGCTACATGAACATTTTCATTGTATGAGAAATCAAAAAATGAAGCCGTACCTGAAACAGACTAATTATGAAAAGTTTTTTAATGTTTATGAATATACCTTCATTTTAATGAGAATTGCCAGTTGTCACAAGGTGTAATTTTTAGAGGCTTTTAGATGAAAGAACTTGGAGAATGCTGATTCCTGGTTTCCACAAGCCACCACCACTCCATCTACTCTCTGTGCTTTAAGAGAGGTCTCATTTAAGTAGTGTTATCGAAGACCTAAGGACAGGAGTTTTAAGTATTTTGTAAAAGAAATGACAGGGATGGTATCTGATTTCTGCATTACCTGGAAATACTTCTTTATTTTTCTATAAGGATGATCTGGACAAAGTGGTGAAGAGAACATGTTAAGAAAGATGAAATAAATATATTTCCCAAATACAGTCCAAACTGATGAATGTCCTTATTTGAGAGTATTACTACAATTGTCATCTGGGATGTATTGTTCTTATGAAAAGCAAGTTGACAAATAAAAGATCCTTCTTAACAGGAGGTCCTGAAGTTTGTGAGACCCTTTTTTTATTTTAATTTTTTTGGAAGCCTACTTATGCCTATTCAATGGTTTAGCTGTCAGGTGATTTCATACTTTTGTATTCATGAGACTAAAATGCAAAGTGGGAAACTAGTTTATAGTTACAGTTCACTTAAAATTTTTCAATTTTAGCTTCCATAGCAAATTATCTTTCTAACAATTCTGCTTTTGAGCAGACTATTCACAGCAATAAATTGTCAACTGTTATGCTCTGCTGTGTGTTTGCTAGGAAGCTGTCTTGGCTTGTACTAAGAAGAGAATATTGTGGCATGACTGGACACTCAGGATAGGGTCATGTGGTTACTGCCATGGTAGGTGTTAAAGTCGATGGTCATTTACTTCTAATAACAAAAATATCATAGCCTGGGCTACTGTGTGTACAACCAAAACACCAGGGAGCAGTTTCAAAATGGTGCTTCATAGCTTTTGAATGTCAACACCTTGTGCGTTCCCAGGAAAAACTCTAGTAGAATTTGTCAAGTAGATTACAACTGCCTCCATTCACCCTCTCAAAACTCAAGAGAGTTTTCCACATTGTCACCGTCGAAACATCCACCTAAATTGTTACTGCAGTCTTAATAGTTTCCACCATTTCAGGACAGCCTGGAGAAAAGCAGGCTCTGACGCAAGGTGATCAAATAGATGGCATTCAAACAAAATATGTTTGTGGGGGATCCCTCTTGGGCTGGGACACTAAGACCAGATGACTACGTAAACGTGTACAGAGGCATCTGCTAGGCCAAGTAGTGATCTTTTCCATTCTCTGGAGCACGCCTGGGGTTTTGTACCTTTGCTTTTAAACCGTTCACACAGAATGCAGACCTGTTTCAGACAGGAGGTGTGGGCAAACTTGTTCTGCAACAGCAGGTACAAGTAGTTCTAGATCTTGCAGGCGTTTTTCAGTACGCACAAAATCCCCAGTTACATACCTCTCTGATCTTGAGTCTGCTTAGAGAACAGACCGGTGCAAAGAATGGTAAAGTTGGCCAATGTGCTACCATTCATCTCAAAGGAATCAGTCTGCTTTCAGGGAGGTATTTCAGGGAACAAGAGGTGGTCAGTCTGGTAACTGCTCTGTGTTATGCTATGTTGGGAGAGCTGTAATGGAGAACTAATCATGCATGTTGGAGTAGCGCAGGAGAAGGAGAGGGACGGTCTCTCCTCCTCTCTTCTGCCATTTTCTGTGTTCATTACAACCTGTCTAACCTCTGGCTGCAAAACTGCCAGGTTTGATTAAACTGACCAACGTATCCTGCCATGTCCCCTAGGTTTTAAACACTTGCCAATAGCTGGTGTGCCATCTTGTTTAGAGATCTTACCTAACTAGTCTTTCAGGACACAGCCTGCCAAGGAAGTAGCCCAACCTAGCACATCTGGATTCTTAGTACATTTGGGAAGGATACCTCTGGTGCAATAACTGTCAAGGATCTTCCTCAGAGATGCATTGTCTTAATGGAAAAGAAAAGGTCATGACTTATAGGTTCAGTAGAAGACTTTGGGTAAATATACCCAATTCCCTAACAAGATTGCTAGCCTGCCCTCTGTAGTGGGTTCTTATGTTGTTTGGGGCCCAAAGACAGGGTGCAGAAAGGATCAGGTTTCTCTGCCAAGAGGCAGGGCAATCACTGGGGCTAGGCAACTAGGACAGCGCCTACTGCAAAAGGCAGAAACAGTAAGTAGTGTTTGTGACAGTATCAACACTTACACTGGAATCTGTATTAGCACTAAAGACTTGCAAGGAGTTTTGAAACTTGCTCTGCCTTAAATCAGGTTTATTGCCTGTTTCGTGATTACTCTGAAGAAATCCTCTCCTATTATACCCAGTCTTACTGTAAGATCTGTAGTCATGGCTGTGCATGGTGCAGTAAGGTACAACAATGGGCTTGGTATTCTGGATACTGATACCCAGTTTGTCACTGGTGATCTCCATCTTACTTTCAGATGCATTAAACCACAACAGGGACTGACCATCTGGCTGAACATACTATGTGAGGCACAATTATCTGGGTAGAGATGCATGGCCCATGACAAGGCATAAGCAGCAGTGTTCACAATGCAGATGTGGAGGCTAATTAAGCTTTTCTGAAAATACTTTTGCATTGATGAAGAGAAGCTTTCAGTCTGTACTTAAGTAGGTAAGTTTCTCATATGAGTGACTACCATAGCCAGTTATAATATCCACAAAACAGTCTCTGTAATTAGCAAAAGACTGTATGATGTGAGCGTAATATTTATTGATAACTGCTAACTCCAGCCTCCTTTGATGTAGGCTCCTACCAAAGTTTGTGGATCCCATGGATTGCCTCACATAGTAAAGTCACATGGTTCAAAGTCAGATTCAGAGAGCAAATAACTACCATCACTTCAGGATAATTTTCACAACAGAGTGTAACATATGTATGACTACTACACTATCAGTACTAATGACCCACCCCTAATGTGTTCCATGTTAACCCAAAGGATCAGAATAGGGCCAGACCAGCGGCAATGAGTAGTGTTGGACAAAGGAATTAGAGCTCTAGGTGACTGTGGCTTCAGGGTAAGTAGCATAAGGATTTTGAAAAGGGCCTTTTCCATGCAAAAGCTTTGTACTCACTGCTGTTCATTCCATACACAGAGGACAAAATGGTCCCACGTGGTGAGCCATATTTCTTCTCCAAAGCAATGCTCAAATGGCATGCTGCAAATGCAAGCACAAGATGGGCAATTAGCCAAGTCGCACATCTTCCATTACATGCATTGTGGGAAATAGGCCAGCTGTCTCCAGGTTTAAGCAAACCTGGCCATTGCGGAAGGCATAGATGGACCTGTAGCATGCCTTCTCAGTTGCACCCTTTTCACAATCCCTGTAACTGATAGCAGCCACAGCAAGCACCATGTAACAGTTTCAAAGGTGGTAGATGTGTGGCAAGGCACAAAGGACTTGCAAGTTGCTCATTGTGCCATTGCTTAGTGCCAAGAAAACTCGGCTTCATAAAAAATATACTTATAAATGTACCAAGAAAGACTGGTACATTAGCAGTACTTGCAGAACCAATATAGA